ATATATATATATATATACTATTCAGCCAATAACATGGCAGCAACTCAGTGCAATTAGGCAAAGTAGACAAGGTCAAAATGACCTGCTGAAGCTCAAACCAAGCATCAGAATGGGATGATGGTATGACTACTTCAGCTGCTGATTCACTGGGATTTCCCCCCCCATGTTGTTGATCAGAACTCAGAGAAGAACAGCCAGTCTACCTCAAACTCAGGAGAAGACAGAAGTAACTCAGAGAGCCACTTGTTAAAAATGTGTTCACATTTTCAGGTTGGATAAATTTAGGATTATGTTAGGAAGGGCATCCAGCATAAGAATCTTTCAAATGAAAGGTAACACCTTGTGACAAGGGAACAGTGGAAAGTAGCTTCATAAGGTGCCGCTGTTCCCCCTGTGAGATGTTTGGGTCATGCCCTGAGACTGCTGAAAGAGCAGCTGTGTGGGTTTCACACCTTTATCCATTAACAGGGAATTCAAGTGTGGAAAAAAGAGATGTAAAAAAAACCCTTTAGTGATTTCAGAGAGAGATCTGTGAGACCAGACAGACTGGTTCAAGTGATGTCACTGGAGTCAGCACCACATGGATGTTTGAAAATGGAAAAAAAAGGTTGTTATGGAGTAGAAAAAAGTGAGTTTCCCAGACATCTGTGGCTTACTGTAGTGGATGTCTGCCTGAAGCTAACAGGTCTTAAACTTTTCGTCGTCTCAAAGTCAGTTTTTTTAAACGTGTCAAAGACCTTTACATAAAATAAGTAAGTAATCGCACCACTCGTGAATTCTAATGCTTGTTGAGTGCCCCAGAGATGGTGGTTACTAACAGCTGTCTAAATGAAGCTCTTGAGCAGCAGCTAGAAATTATGCAACCATGGTGCAGTTTGCAAACAGCCCTATGTTGATGCTTTGCATTTCAAAATTTCTAAAAGTGTTAGTCTGTGAGTCTTTCTCAATAAAACATTTTGGAATCATAAGCTTTTATTTCACACAGAACTCATCCCTGCAGCACTTTGTCAGCATAATATAACCAAATGTTGTGAGTCACTGGAGTTACACTGAACATGTTGTTGGTTTTGACATAAAAAGATAACAGGTGAATAATCTATGTTAAACATTAAGCCTGCTTCTGCTTTAAAAGTTTTTATTCTTGTCATTATTCCTTTAAACATTCATCACGAGTCAGTCAGTGTCATTATTTTGCATGATTAGACCTGTACTTGGAAATGTTTGGGCCTGGCTTTGCTGGGGGAGGAATAGCAGCACAGGAAGCCTTTTCACTGAGCCACTGTGCATTATCAGATGCTGGGCCTGCCTGGACTGAATCAATACAACCATCATGTTTTTAATTACACCTGTGCTTCAAAATATTAAAATGTCTCCTGGGAGAAAGGTCAGTTTGCAGTGTGGGTGTGCACAACCATTAAAATGTTTAATATTTTAACGCTGCACAATGTATTTCCAATTGAGGTTTTATTTGTGTTAACTGCAGTGTGTCATTTGCTCTGCAGATTCTGAGCAAAGATCAAATCAAATCTATTTGCCAGGCCATCATCGAGTCAGGAAAACAGTATGCCAGGAAGAAGAGAAAGCCTTTCCCCCTTATGTACTCGTACTATGGAACAGAGTACCTCGGTAAGAACCACCAGCTTCATGCAACGTTCAGTGCCCTTGTTATAAAGGTAGTGTAAATGCACAGATATCAGGATTTTTCACAGTTTCAGTCCTCTGACCACAGCAGGAGCTTCTGTTGTCACAGGACTGGTGTGTTCATGTGTGCAAAACTAACTGTCCTTTTCCTTGATGGGCATCAGAGGAAGAGACCCCTCAGGGTTGAAGTAACTTTCACATCAACAGAGTTCATAGTAAGCATAGCCCTGCTGGCCACTTTTGCATGGATACAGCAACATCTTTGAGGATGACGAGGAAGTGGAACAGTTATATTTTGAGAGATCTGTAGATTAGAAATACCTGGATGAAAATATATGCTGAAGATCCTGCATGTGTTCTCAGTTTGCCTGTCATGAGAGGTTTGCTATTGGAGGAGTTTCTTGATCGATTTGCGGTGGGCGGTGGGCTGGGCTGCCTCAGAGAGTCTTGGTTTGTTGCATGTGTTTAGCATTACTTAGGAAGTCTCGCTCCAGGATCCCAACGAATTACATCCATGTTTGATGATTCTGTAACTTACGATTCACATCCAACGCCTGTGCAGGAGGAAGACATTTCTTTGGTGGAGTCTGGGGTGGTGGATGGTTGGAGACAGGAGCTATGGGCCTATGATAAATGCTTTCCTACGGTAACTGATTTAGTCATGTTCACAGTGTTTTTTCACGTTGCTTTCAGGTCATTTAAACATTATATGAAAACCTGAATATTCAGTACAAAAGCGCAACAGTGCAAAAGTCTTGAGCCACCCCTCATTTCCTTATATTTATCGATTAATATGGGAAACAGCTGCAGTGATTTATTGAAACATGTGCAAACATACATGGAAATACAGTTTAAAAGGCAAAAACAGATTCCGTTCAATTCTGTTAAACTTGAAAGTCAATATTTGCAATGACCACCTTTATTCTCCAGCACAGCCTGAACTCTCTCTGGAAAGCTTTCTTCTATTTTCTTTATGCAGTTTTCAGGAATAGTGCTCCGGGCTTCTTACAGGATGGATCTTGGTTCCCTTTTGTTCCATTTTCTGTCAAGATGAGCCCACACAGCCATTGCCGCTTTCCAGATGGTATCACACTTCAGTGTTGTGTCTTTTTATGCTTGAATGATTCATAGGTCAGTATTTAGTGGCTTATTTAAAAAAACAAGTCCTCTGAAAATGTCCAGGTACAAAGACTGGATTGAATTTGAGTGAAAAAGCAGCCAATGTCCAAAAAAGAAACCCAAACTTTTGAAAGACCTTCAGAAAGCCTAGAAAACTACTACTAAAGACCATTTTGATAATGACAAAGTCTGGCTCTTTAGAAGCAAAACAAAAAGAAATTATGAGTGACTCAAGACATTTGTACGTTACCATAGTTACTACCGTATTTTGAGTATTATGTAGTTGTTACCTATAATGTGAGAGTTTGGAAATATTGTCATTGGATGTGGAAAGCAGTTAAACTTGATGCGAATCTAAAAATGTTTAGAATCATCCAGCTATGATGTTCTTGTCAGGAGATAATCTTATCGGATGGTTGCAAGGCTACAAAGGGTTACTCTTCTATCTCTTGTTATTTCCAGCGTCAAGCATGTCCGTATACTTGTA